TCCAAGTATCTCCGTGGGTTCCCTGACATATTAATCTTAGCTTTAATTTGCCATCAAGATTTCTTCGATTTATAGTTTTACGACTCAGTATCATGATGCTGACTGTGAATCTTCAGTGATGGTTCTCGTTCTCTTTATTAGGAGGTCCATAATTGATTTTTAAATATGATTTTTCTAGGCGATTCTGTTTTCGACTTATCAAGTAAATGTGCGGTAGAGCTGGCTAAGCGCCAGGAAGAGCTTTGTGTACTAAACGAATGGACCCGTGTCTGTCCGCATACGTGTAGAGGTAAGTTACCTTCTAATTTAGAAGGGATATAGAATTTTAATTGTCGGGTATGACTTCTAACTTTACCAGCTTGAGGCAGTAAAAACTCCCCACAATATTTCCACCAGGATGAATTGGTTTAGTGGATACTTTCTCGTCCTCCATGTGTTACAACTTCAGTAGATTGATGTTGTTACAATGAAAAATATCACGACTTATTGTGCAGTGACAACAAAGAAAGTGGAACCGAAGTGCTGACGTTTTGCTTTGCTTACTGTCGATGTTAAGCGGCTGCTTGCATTCCCGCGAATAATTGCTTTTAAAAAGAAGTCTAAGCTATTATGGTTCTCGTCTCCTCTAAGGAAATGCTCAAAATGAAAGTGATGCAACTATTCAACCTTGTTTGTTTGTGTGTTTGTTTGTTTGTTTTACAATTTACAGAGTACATCTGCGCTGACAAGGTGCAAGATTGTGCATACTTAGCGAGTCGTAATGGCTGCCTTTTACAACACAGGTACATGACAAAGAATTGTATGCTGACATGTGCCATGTGTACTTCAGGTATGGGTCAACTTGGACATGATTTAGTCATTATGCCGACCTTTTCCATCATTTTTCAAGGATCCAAATTGGTCAATTTGAATTCTTTAGAAGTTATGTCAAAGCTTAGTTTTATCAAGGCAGCCGAGAGGTATCTAGTGCTGATGTCCGCTCATAATGCTTGATATCATTCTACATTCAACCGTACTTTAACGTTATCATCTTTCTTACACTATCTGCACACAGAATCTTTAATAGGTGCTGATTGTAGCAGTACATGGAGCATCCAACCGCGAATAAGAATTCCTCATGGGGCGCTTAGGAAAATGATTACTTGTCTTACGTTCGCGAGGAACTATTTCGCCAATCTTAAATTTATCTCTCTTAAGGTAATACTGTGATGGACACAACCAGTGAGTGTAACCCCAAACAAGAACTTTGCCGAACTGACTGGGAATGGAGAAGTATTTGTCCACATACATGTAAAAGCTATCTTCAAAGCCAACCTCAAGGAGTTATAACCAACCAACAAGTATCGTCACAAGTCTTGCAACCCGAGGCGCAGTTAGGCGGTGCAGTGCAACCTGCGCAACCTCAACAACCAGTTGGTCAACTTCCATCGCAACAGACTCTTCAACCGCAACCGACAACCACTCAAACGCAGCAAACAGCACAACTGCAGCCGCAAGTCCAGCAGCCTGGACTGTTCAGTCAGCCCCAAGCTACTCAGGTGGGGTCGGTCGTGCAGCCTGGTCTCATGCAGCCACAAACTCCTGCTGCAGCCGCATCGCAAGTAAACCCAGGGATACAAACCAATCAAATCCAATCTCAGACTCAGATACCTCAAGTTAACCAAGCGATGCAAAATGGACAAGTACAACCTCAAGTTCAACAGACACTCCCTCAAGTGAGCCCTGTAGCACAGACTGCCCAAGGTCAGCCTCAAGTACCACAGACAGCTTTTCAAATGAATCCAACGGTGCAAACAGCTCAGACTCAGGCTGGAGCGCCACAAACAGCTTTGCAGAATACTCAAGTTCAGCCTCAGATGCAACAAACAGCTATTCAACCGCAAGCCCTTGCACTGCAACAACAGGTTCCGCAACCCTACGCTCTGCCAGGGGCATACCAGTATTCCAACCAGGCACAAGTTAACACGGGTAAATATGTTTTATTGTAAACACCGTATGACTCAACAAACTATATAAGATTGTAAAATAGTTTTTGAATACGGAATTTGAATATAGCAAAGTTTGAATTTCCTTTTTTCATAGGTTTTATCTGGAAGCAAAGTAGAAAATATGATTACTAGTAATTAAAAACGAGGGAATGTTAACCTCTGGTTATAACGGCCCAAACCGAAGAGTCAAAAACGAATTAAAAGATCAATTTTCTCGCACTTTCGCGTATTTAAAATTTCTTTTTTGTGTGTAAGAATTTTTTTTAAAGCCAAGGTTAACTCTGAGGTTAATTATAAGGGCTAAACTGAGACTTCATCAGGAAAATACACTGAGATGTCTTCTATAAGAAACAAAAGATAAGCGAGGTACTCGCTGAAAATGAAGAGGAAGCAATCCGTGCAGTGAATCGGTTGAGCTGCGGTTGAACTTTAGCAGCACTAAACCAGCAATCTAGTGTCCACTTTCAATCTTTCTATTAATATTGTGTTCTACCGCAGGTCAGATCTATCAACCAGTCATACAACAGCCTCAGCCTGGGACAGTTCGGGGACCACCAAAAAAAAAGATGGGACCCGAGAAGATAAAACCTATCAAGGGGAATCCTGAGCAGGAGACAAGCAAGCTGGTAAAATTGACCAAAAAGCAAGACAATATGAAAGATTTTTCTACCAAGAACACTCCTATAGAGGAGGCAGGCAAAGGGAATAAAGTGCCAAAAGAAGAAGAGAATAAGAAATATGATACCGCCTCAAAAACTACTTTAGAAGAGAGAGGCAAAGGGGATAAAATGACCAAGCAGAAAGGGAATAAGAAAGATGATTCTGCCAAAGAGACTGCTGTAGAAGCGACAAGAAAAGTGAATAAACTGGCCAAAAAAGACAATGATGGGAAAGATGATACTGCCAAAGAGACTGGTGCAGAGATGACAGGGAAAGTGGATAAAATGGCCAAAAAGAAAGACTTAAAAAAAAAAGATGATTTTTAAAGACAGTGAACATTAATTGCGGAGGTGAAGCAAAGGGAAAAAACACAAGAAGACGAGAGGAAATGAGGAAAGAACTCAGTGAAGGAGAGAAGTTAGTGAACCGCAATGTCAAAGTTGAAAACCAAAAATGTGATCAACAATTAGTGAGGCTGATCTGTATCACTGGGGAAAAATTTAGCCAGGGAAAATATGAAGCTAAAATGAACGATAGTCAAAGTTCACTACTAGATAACGTCAGCTTCAAGTCTAGAATCTGGTCCAGCCGGCTGGAAGTGACAGACACGCTAGAATCCCATGGAAATATCTTTGACATATAGAGCATGTTTAGATATTATTGAGACTCTTAGCCTGCCATGTTTTTAGGTGTATCGAGGAAGACTATGAATAAACTTGAAAATGGAATAGTTCAAACTTTTCATATTCGATGTTACAAATTGAAATAGCTAGATGTTTCAAAAGTCAATAATTTTTTCCTTGCTCGAAAAAGTGTCAGCCAGAAAATCCACCACGAAGAAATAGGCAGAACTCGAAGGGAAAGATTTACAAAAGCATTCTGCATATTAATAAAAAAGCACAACTCAAAGCTAACTCTTCTAGATCGTCTCGCCGTATACAATTGTACAAAAGACGCCTGAAAAAGGCCGTCGATGCCTGAATTTCTGCAATTACTCATTTTTCAATTTACCTTCACGAATCATTTCTGCACTTGAATAGTGAGTGCTGAGAACATATCTGCACAAGAGAGGGGGTAGTGAGAAGCTGTTTGTTTCAGTTTGGATGGTTTTTCCAAAGATCTTACTTCTTTATCATCTTGACACAAAAAGGTCCTGTTACTGTACACTCTTCCTTTATTTGCAAAAATGACCTGCTTTATTTTTTTGTCGATGAGAACCTTTTCATTGCCCTTTCCGGAATTCAACGGGAGACTGGGGCGGAACTTAACACGCGAAGCACCCTGGGGCTGTTTTTGGAGACGCGGGAATAGTCAGTGAATTTTAATGTTTTTCTTTATCACTTTGGCCCGCGTCTCCAAAAACAGCCCCAGGGTACTTCACGAGTTAAGTTCCTCCCCAGTCTCCCGTTGAATTCCGGAAAGACGTATTGCCGTTGTTTGATAACACAGAATGCCGGTTTAAAATCTGTATCTATTTAACTGAAAATCTCTCAGTCTTGGGTCGGTCAAATAAAGTAAATTAATAGCGCGTAACGTTTCTAACGATCACATGGAACATAATCACTCATGCTGGAGAACACAATACACGTTGTTATATCTGACCCAGTGCTCTTATATCACGTGGTTGTAGAAGGTTTCTTTCGGATCCATATCGCTCTCTTGACTAGTCTGTTCTTTAAAATCACTTCATTATCGGTATCCAAGCGTTAAATAGCGTTTTGAATTCTAAGTCAATGAGGGAAAGGAAGCAAAACATTCGGATACTTTTGACCTCGAAATGGGCGGGCGTGTGGCTCTCAATTTATTGACCCGTGAAAAAACAAGCAATTGAAAACACGCAACTTTGACTACAATTTCAAAGTCCCTGTTTTCTTAAATTTCCTAAGCTTCGTAGTGGTAAGGATTTCTTATAGATCAATCAAATGTTCTTACCAGAAAGGAGAAATAGAAGTCAACTGATAGCAATAGAGCAGATTTTCCCCGAAATTTCGTCATTATTGGATCCCTTTGACGCTCTAATTCCCTTTCATTATTTTCATGGTATGGAGGTTGCGTCAGCAAATAACTTAAAGTCCAGGTAAGATATGTAAACAGTAGCCAAATTCGGTAAATAGGACATATCTTCGAGCTCGATTCCTCACAATGAACATAGTTACAGCCTGAAGGATTCGACAAATAGTCTTCGCTTCTGAATAACTTGAAAAGGTAAATAACTTTCCTGCTTGCTCGTCCAAACAGGCCAAACCTTAAATGCAGTGAACTTTGACGAAAATTACTGATCCTTTAGGAATTTGCTTGTGGCCTTTTGTTCTTGTTTAATTATTTACCGGTCATATGTCCAAACGGGCTATTGCATCTTTCGTTAAGTGAGATTGTCTTGGCAGTATTTTGACTGCAACAAGTTTGTTTTGTCCTCAGCCACGCGCATAAATCAGGTAGGTCATCCACCAATCTTTCCCTTCATACGCTGTTCAATAAGTACGCTTGAGTCGGTTACTTCAGGTAATCCACGGTTTTCGGTCAAAAGTAAAAAAACCGTCCAAGTACGAGCAACAAACTTATTTCGTTGAATTTTGTTCTACAGTATCGAGCCTTCAGTGACAAAGTTGAAGGAGTTATTGAATTCAAATATATTTTATTCTTATTTCAATGCTTATTTTAGTCCTCGGTAGAATTTTAAGATTGCAATTGTTTAAGAAATAGAACAGCAGTACTCGTTATATTTATGCTTTTTAGAACAAGTTCGTATTAAGCTGGCATCATGGGTTGTTGTTCGAATTCCAAATAGAAAATGCGAATAGAATGTTCCAATCGATATCAGTCGAATTACTTTAACTTGGTGGTCTGAAGATCTGACTGATTGACTTAAAATAATATTCATTTTAAAATTTTGTCCTGGCACTAGCTGATATGGAGCAAAATTTGAATTTGATGTACCTTACAATTATGGCTGTGTATTTTTTTCGACTTTGTTGAACAAGTTCGTATAAGTTTTCTTGTTGGCTGGTTTTTACGAAATACTAGGGAATCAACAGGCTCCGATCCTGTCCAAAATAACCAGATATTAAAACCACTTCATGAGGTCATGCTAAACTCGTAAGTTGAAGACGGATACGCTCTCACTATTTGTAAGGACAATGACAACCAAGATCATATTTGTTTTGCATTGGAATCAAACAAGTTAGGGTCTAAAATTCCCAAATTCAAGCGACGCGGATGCTGAAAACAGGAAGGTTTCTTGTCTGACTGGTTGAAATTATACAAACAATTGACCGCCTTACATGTTTTGCTGGTGGCCAGAATGTTTCAAATATCGTTACTTGTATCTGCAAAAGGGATTGTTGTTCCTGGAGCAACTTTCTTTTGGAAGAAAGATAACATACAAAACTTATTGGGAAAGTTAGGTTTATATATGTTGAATATCCCGGCGTCTCGTGTTCTGTGATTGGATGAGTAAATGCATTTCTGATAGGGACTGTAGTCATTCACTGACGGTTCGAAGACCTGACCGGAGGTCACAATCAGAGTCAAGTGAAGAGTTTGGACAGTAGAATGTTTCCGGAACATCCAGTTCGTGTAAACTGGCGTTTATTTGAAACCCTCAGTTATTAAGTCCCATCTAAAATCAAAGTAAGATGAAGGAAAGGAAGGGCAAGTAAAGACATCTGAAAATTTTTCGGAATTGCTGCAGGAAATTTGGTTTTTAGTAATTACCCCCCAGAGGGTCGATGACGTTTGCATAAGATCACTGATCTGCTGAAGAGTCCAAAAGTGACACCTAAAATTCCCATCAAGAAAAAGACCCTATTTAGAACAAAGAGCTGTGAGTGTATTCAAGGTGAGATGATATTTTTCAGTAGGAAATATGCGAAAAAAAGATACGATATCACGAATGCAACAACTATCGTATTTTGTCGCTATCATTTCTTTGCCATTTTGACGTATTTAAGTGAATTACCTAACCTACTAAGGATGCTGTATCAAAGTCAGTTACTTTCTTTGATTCTAATAAGTCAAAACTACGAAACTCTGGCTATATCATACGGATAATCATTGAAATTAACAGTAGATAGAAATATTCCGAGAATCTACCACCCTCGTAAATGTTCCTTTGTGAACAGGAAAATGTTAAAATTCAAACTGTGACCCTACCTATCAAACCTAATCGACAGCTTCGGACTGGATTTATTTCATAGATTTTCTCATCAATATGTTACAAATTATGTTCAAATGCTTTGTTCCAAAGAGGGTTACAGAGAATAAACCTTGAAGGAATTCTTCCAATTAACAAATGGTAAACACCACAGCGTACACTATTGAGTTATGGATGCACGCGGGAGGTTGCTAAGCACGAAAGAAGGGTAAGAGTCGCTCGAGGCGATAGCCGAGAGCGACTCTAGCTTCTTGAGTGTTTAACAGACCTCCCAAGTGCATCCATAACTCAATAGCGTACGCTGTGGTGTTTATCATTTGTTTTATAACATAACATTGATACTTGTAGCTAAAGAGTTCCCTTTTATTTAACAAATCTTACGTGACCAGAAAAAACAAGCGTGCGCGGAAAAATAGTCTTTGCATTTGCTGACGTCAGCAGCGTACACCCTTGGGCAAATTGGGGACGCTAAATTGACCAATTAGAGCACGCGCTTTAAGGCGGCGAAGTACGAGATACAAAAACCCTCAACTTGGAGCGCAACATTGTTTCGTTGCAAGTTTTGGTCGATGTTTCTCGTTTTTCACCTTGCGTGATCAACTTGTTTCGCAACAAAAACAATTGTTGCAGGTTGAAGAAATTTGTTGTGAAAAGTAGAGCGCGGGTCAACTTTGAGCAACAAATTTCTTCAACCTGCAAAAAATGTTTTTGTTGCGAGACAAGTTGATCACGCAAGGTGAAAAACGAGAAACATCGACCACAGCTTGCAACGAAACAATGTTGCGCGCCAAGTTGAGGGTTTTTGTATCTCATATTTCGCCGCCTTTACTTTGGTTATGTTATAATGGAGATTATAAGATAGCCTAATTTCATTTATTCTAGTACCAAATTTATTTCATAATCAAAACGGTGCGCTCCTAAAAATCAAGCAAGAACCTAAATGTGTATTGTTTCCTCTAAATAATCGTAAAATACATTTCCACAAGTAAGATTATTTTGTGTCGTACGCTTTTAATGAAAAATTGTTAGTTGTACCGACGAGAAAAGAAAACCCGCGACTGCGACTTGTCATGGCTAAGTAATTGTAATAAACCTCCCTTGAAATTTCCTTGTACAAGTGTCCTCAATAAGTCGTCTGCAGGCGCAAATTTTGCCGTCTCCAAGATTGTCTACGAAAGCTCTCCTTTTGCAAGAATTTTATGTGAGTAGTTCAAATTTCTAATGATTAATTTCTGCTGATCATCGCAAATGCTTGCAGTTTCTTATTCTCCTTGTCTAGAGTCGAGTCAAAAGTTAGAGGAGTTATTATCGTTTGCACTTGTTGAATTATTGGTTTTTTTTTTTTGTACAGAAGGCGGGAGACAATGAAATCGACTGTAATTTTTGTTGTGTTGACGATACTTGGCTCCCTGTGTCAAGGAAAGCCTGTTGACAAAAAGAAGGCTGCAAAATTAAAGGATAAGCCACACAAAGGTATAAATGTCAGGCTGACCGCATAATTAGTACTATATCAAGATGACACGTTTTGCTTGATAATTTTGTGCATTTGAGGTTGTTTGACATGTGCATGTAAGAGTTTGGAATATAGAATGCTTGTGTGAAGTTCAAGACTTTGATTTATTTTGTATGTTTTTTTTCGCTTCGTTCTTCAGACAGCGTTTGTTTCGACAAGGATGTGAGATTCTGCAAAAAATGGGCGCCCCTGGGTTACTGCGCGAAAAGCCATTCAGTCATGTCAGGGAAATGCAAGTTGGCTTGCAAAATGTGTTCACCAGGTAGGAAGAAACAAGTAATAATTGATTTTTTCTTGCAGTGCATTCATTTGCCTATTCATTTCTTTATTTGGACGCTTCTCAGTAAATTTTATCAATCATGGTGGTTAAGGGTACATTTAAAATTTGATCGTGGGCTCAAAACTTCATTGACATCCATCTACAGTCAAGTAATTTCTAGAGTGTTAAAACCTTGTTCTGCTTCAGCATGTAAATCCCTTTTGTAATATCAAAAAAAGTAAATATGTTACGAAACTAAAGCATGTAATAACATAACTTGCTTCAAACTCAAGATCTGATGAATCACTTTTTTTACATTAGCCTTTTAAATAGTAACCCTTGGAAATCTTACATGTTGCAGGGGAAATGCTAATGGATGACGACAGCAGATGCAGCAACTGGAAGAGGTCTGATTTTTGCGCCAAAGCAAATCATCAGCCTTATATGTTTAAACACTGCAAATTTAGCTGCAAAGGGTTTGTGGCTTTACCATCCGTCCCCAAGAAAAAACTTGGCGACAACTTTGGAATGGGGGGACAATACGGGCAACAGCCGATGGCCGGAAGGTTTGGTCAACAGCCATATGGTAGGCCCCCATACGGTGCACAACCAAGCATGCAACAACCATATGGTCAATATGGACAGCAGTCTTACGCTCAAAGTCCCTATGGACAACAGCCTTACGCTCAACAACCTTATGGGCAGCAACCTTACGCTCAACAGCCTTACGGGCAGCAATCTTACGGACAACAACCACAATATGGACAACCATCATTTGGTCAGCAGCCATCATATGGCCAACAAGGAATGATGCAACAACCTTGTGGTCAACCTCAAATGCCTACGGATCCTTGTGCTCCTCCTTGTCCACCTCAACCACCTTGCGGCCAGCCACCGTGCCCACAACCACAACCTCCATGTGGAGGTCCACAGGCACCTCTGCCCCCACAACCACCAGCTCTTCCACCACCACCACCACCACCAACGGAAGAAAAAGAGGGAAAAGAAGAGGAAAAAGAAGAAGAGGGAGGGAAAGAAACAAAGGAAGAGAAAGAAGGATCAATGAAGCGACCACCACCCGTTGACGCCCACCGACCTCCACCTAGGCAGCCATACCGACCTTATCAGCCTTATGGAGCTCAATCTCCTTACGGCCGCCCACCATATGGACAGCAACCGCCCTATGGACAGCAAACACCTTATGGACAGCGACCACCCTATGGACAGTCACCATATGGACAGCCAGGCTACCAACAACCATACAATCCGTACGGACAACCAGATCCCTATGCCCAACAGCCGTATCAACCATCTCCTTACCAGCAATCTCCTTACCAGCAACAACAATATTATGGACAAAATAGGCAACCTCAAGCACCAGTTCAGCCCGCACAATCTGCACCTGCCCCTAGACCTGCTCCAGAAGCTCCTGCTGCTCAGCCCGTTGCACCTGCTATTCAGCCTGCTCAGCCTGCCGCTCCTGCTGCTCAGCCTGCCGCTCCTGTTGCTCAGCCTGTCGCCCCTGTTGCTCAGCCCGCCGCTCCCGGTAAGTTTACATGTCTTAGCCCTGTCACACAATGACAATTTTTCTGACATCTCTTCTACCCACTATTTTTGTCTCTCTGTCTGACCATGTTTTCCCCTGCTCATTGTTCCATTTTTCTGTCTTTGTTAACTCCTTCCTTCTTTCAAACCTTCCTTAAGTCTTTCCGTCTACCAACTAAACTATGCAACTTCCTATGTCCCGCCTACCTTCTTTAAAAGCACTCGACTTTCCTTCCTTCTTTGAGGCAACCTATTTAGGAGTTCATCTTAAATACTATCCTAAAGATCCTTGTCTATCTTTAAAGGTTATTCAGTCCCGTTCTTGTATGCATCTCCATTTACGATAACTTAAAAGAAACCTACACTCATAAACATCTCTTTTTATGACACTACTCAGCCGGTCCGGTAGGAGCTGCTGGCCCTGCGGCACCTGAACCACAATCTGATTTCGCACAGGGAGGTCAAACGTACGTCATCCAACATCCTTGGCCAGGAACAGAGGGTCCACTCACTATCAAGAAGGAAGGAGTAGAGCAAAAGAAAATGGAACCGAAAAAAGATCTCAAGTTCTCCGCTGATGAAGTGGTAGTGGCATAGATTGTTAGACTTTTAAAGGTAAAGAGTCTGCTATATCGCGAACCTCGAGTTTTCCACCGCAACGCTTTCCCTTTTAAAACGCGATCGTATTCAAAATCATTTCGTCGTTACTGTTGTTGACCTTGTCAGCTATGAAACTTGAAATTTGTAAAGGCGCTTTTAGGTTTTATTTTTTAAGTCGTTTCTTGTTAAGGGGAAGCTCTATGAGAGAATTAAGCATTTTCATTTGAAATTACCTATTATTAAAGTAACGCATAGAACTAATGTGGAACTCGAAAGATGGGTGTTGATCTCTCTTGAGAGTTATTTCTTTCTAATGTACCTTGTTACTCTTATCTATGGCACTCCTCGATTAAATGTCCAGAGTAATTCGGAATTTGTTGGTTTTGCTTCAGTTTTCATTCTGGTGAACTCCTTCCGCATTTTGAACTTATCGGATGGTCAGCTCAAAAACTTGGACACCGGCCTGTTTTTTTTTTTTTTTGGTACACGTGGCAAGAAATTTCTTGTATTTACTACGTCCTTGTGTGATGCTTACTTTTCTTGGTATTGATCGCTTTTAATTACTTTAGAAAAATTTTCATGAGACTGAATTGAATTCTTTTTGTTTCTTTTCAGATCTTATTACGACTTCCCAACGAATAACTCTGCTAGGAGTTGCTTATCGTTTATGACACTGTGCGAAAAAGTGTTACGACTTCTCTTTGCATCTGATGAAGAAAGAGCTCCATTATGGCATGCGTATTAATTTATTCCACTCGAACAGACAAGGGCCTAGCTGATTGATATACTGCATTAGGCCATAACCCTATGAGTCATTTTTTCCCTTAAATGACAAGACGAATTGCTTTTTGCTCCAAAGACTACTTTTATCTTTTGAAAAAATAAAAACACTGAAAAGACTGAAAAGTTTTTTATGTTGTGAGGAACTTAGCATAACATTAACGATGTAAACCTCATGTTGTGGGAAGACGTTGTAGGTAGAACCACCAAAAACATTGGAATTCAATGGTTCAGATTTAGTAAAATGCTACGTTTCCACTAGTGCACTGTCTCGCTCAAAAAACTCACCAGACGTAAACTCGCAAAGGAGATTCTAAGTGTAAATTGAAATAAAGTTAATTCTTCCTTGAGTTCCTCATTGATGAATACATCTGAATCTTAATTCTCCACATAGGTTTGATATCCGCTTTCCTCGGTCACCCACTCAGCGTCATTCGCCAGGGCTCGAAGCCATTGTTATGCTTCAAGATAGCAGATATAGCACATTGCCCCATGGTACTGAGTTCCCCAATCCTTAAACCCAAACCGGTTATTCGGTTCCCTAATTGGAATTGGTGGCACCCATTTTACTTATGGGGGTAGGGAAGGGTGAGGGTTTGTAAAGGTAAAATGTGTTGATCAAGAACAACGGAATATATCGTTTAGGGCTCAAGACCAGACGTCATCGATCAAGAGTCGAAAGACAGGTTAGCGTCTCCGTCATCAATGGGAATTTCGTTTGGGAAAAGAAAGAAATTAATATGTGTTATGTGATTGAATTTCGAGTTTGAGAAATATCCGAAGAAGTTGAACCACCAGTTTTCACCTACGAGGTACCTGTTAACATGAAAAAAAAAAGGAAAAACCATCGCAGTTTGATTTATATTCTTCATCAGTTGACGAAGATGTTGAAAAATTTTAGCTGTTGTAATCGTATCTCGGTAAGATTCCTAAGTTTAAGCATGTTTTAAATCAAAGTTTCGAGGAAACAAAACAAAATAATGGCCTTAATTTAGTTGTTTTCTTTTGTTTCGTCTTCCCCGTTATACGTTTTAAAAACATAGCGTGTTCTAAGTAGCTGGCTTTCATAGAGTCTAAACATTTCCTTTACAAAAGGGATATAAACAGAAAAAAGGTAATTTGTCATGAATAGCAGGAGTTCTTAAAATCCAGGAAAACACAGCCGAGTTTTTGGAATAGACATATTCAAGGTAAAAAACCTTGAATATGTCCGAGAAACTTAGAGGGGTTTTCAACCGAGCTTGAAAGGAGCTAGAGCTTCACCACGGCTCAACCGAGGAAATGTTTACAAGGAGTCTATTTCAAAACGATGCATTCTTTCACACTGCAGTTCCTTGATAGGTAGCACCTGTCAAATCCGTCCACGCACGGCTGACCACTTTCATTGATTCACACACTTCGACGTGGATTTACGTTCTACAAATTATGAAGTAAAATCTAGCTAAAAACGGTAAGTTTCTTTTTTCTAAACTGAACAACGGGCTTCCAGCCCCTGAACATTTCTCCTAATACGTGCTTTTCTCAAATTTATTGAGAACAACCCTTTCAAATCTTATTTTATGACTCTGATAACAAAAATTATAGTTCTATACAATTCCTCGATGAGAATTTAATGAACGTAGATTTAACTATGGAAATTAAATAGAAATTTAGCTTTTTTTTCTTTACACACCTTTTGATTTAATTCTTCAGATACCACGAAACTTATAACGGGATGTTTGAATGCGAACGAAAGACTCAAAATGCTATCTTCTCTATCATTATACATGTCATTGTCTCAGGTACAGTGTAAACAACTGTTTTCTGGTAGATCCACTTCTAAATTAACTGATGTGTTCTGGAGAGGAGTCCAACCAAATGTTCACCCAAATCACAAAGACCTGAGAACTGATTTCTATCACAGTTTACAATGTGGTCGTTTTCAATCTTGCA